CTAATGGGACCTGCAGCGGGCGGTGGAAGTAGTCCCGGCGGGGGCGGGGTCAGGCGCCGGGCTTCCGCCTCCCGCGCGAAGTTTGGTTTGGAGGCCTGAGCTCTGCTGTTAGACGGCGGCGGGATGTGGTCGCGCATAAACCGGGCCGCCGAGGAGTTTCACACGCGTCTCCTGCAGTGAGTCGTAGCTCCTGCTGTTGGTTAGGTTGCGAGGACAGCGTTACTCCCCCGGGGTATCTATATGCCCTCCAAGCCTCTTGCCGCAGCCATGGGGATCAGCGCCTTGTCCGTTCTCGGTGGCGCGTACGTTATCCTGAGCTTCCCTGGGCTCCGGTGGTTCTCCGCCCCAGTGTGGCCCCGTGGTGTCGTTTAGGAGGAAATAGCTGTGCGTTATCGATCGTGGTGGGAAGTGACAAGTTTTCCAAGAGGCACCGTATTCATTCGGGTAATGCACACGCCTTGCAGGATGGTGGAGGCACTTTTCCTGTGTATGGAAAACCAGGTGTTGGCACCCTTCACCCGTGCAAAGCCTGGCCGGTGTGAAACTTACTGCTGTGTAGCCTCTTCGAGATAGTTACCATGTGAGCCACGGTTATGATAACGTGTTGGTGTGTTGGCATTTTAACGTACCTTTATGTCACTGTGCTCTAAGATAGCATTTTATTCTTTTTTTAAGATATATTTTCATTTATTTCAGAGAGGGAATCATTGATCGGCTGCCTCCTCCACGCCCCCTACTGAGGATTGAGCCGGTAACCTGGGCCTGTGCCCTGACGGGGGCATTGAACCCTGACCTCCTGGTTTATAGGTCAACGCTCAACTACTGAGCCACACCGGCCGGCGGCATTTTATCCTTATAGTGAAGTGATAGCACCCAAGGGGACTCCGTCTAGTCCTGCATCCGACCCAAAAACGGAATCCAGGAACCCTCAGATTGGAGCGTGCATCAGACTCACCTGGAGGGTTGTCAAGACAGCTTGCTGGGCCCCAGCTCCAGGGTTTCTTATTTACATAGTAGGTCTGGGTGGGGCCGAAGAATTTGCCTTTGTAGCACATCACAGGTGAAGCAGATGCTGCTGGCCTCACACCCTTTGAGAACCGCTGGTATAATCTCGCCTCTTGTTTTCTAAATTCTATACATTTTCATTGTTTATTGCTTTTTTCTGCTTACAAAAGTGGTTATTCTTGTCAATTTTTTGATCATTATAGAAAGAACACTAGCTTTTTAAAACTAACAATGTCTTGGATAGCTTCCAGTCAGAGTGCCTCTAGATCTCTTTGTTTTTATTAATGGCTATATACTATTTCATTCTGTGGTTTGAGAAATATACACATGCTTGAGAAATTATGGCTGAATGATTGACGGTCATCTCTGAGTTGTATATTAAAGACAGACATCTTTAAGTCATAGTCTTGTCCAAGTGGCAAAAGTGAATCAGTCTCAAGCTTATATTTCCCGTTTTATTTCAGTAAATCATAGAGTAGATCAAATAATAAGTGGTGCCCTGAAACAATTCCACTGGGTTCCTTTAGGACACTAACGATTCTTTGCTCACTCTGGCCAGTGTGACTCGGTGGGTTGTGTGTCCTCCTGTGCACTGAAGGGTTGCCTGTTTGATTCCTGGTCTGTGCGCATGCCCAGGTTTAGGGCTCGATCCCTGGTGGGGGGTGTGCAGGAGGCAGCCAAGGATCCATGTCTCACTCTCAAATCGATGTTTCTCTCTCTCTCTTCCTCTTCCTTTTTCTCTGTAAAAATCAATTAAAAATCTTAACACAAAAGAATCTTTCCTCTTTCAGAGCATATAGCGGGGCTGATGTGCATTTTGGTATGTTAATGGTTTATAGTTTTACATGCTTTGAAATCACTATTTTAAAATTCTCTTGACTGATTAACAAAAACATTTTTTTTATTACAAAAATACAAAAAACCCTGGCCAGCTTGACTTGGTGGTTAGAGTGTCAGTTGAGCACGAACGGCCATGGGTTCGATTCCTGGTCAAGGGCACGTACCTGGGTTGCAGTTTTGATCCCCAGCCCTGGTTGAGGTGCATGCAGGAGGCAACCAATCAATGTATCTCTCACATCAATGTCTGTCTGTCTCTTTCCTCCCTCCCTTCCACTCTCCAAATATCAGTGGACAAAATATCCTCTGGTGAGGAATAACAAAACAAAAAAAGTTAAATTCTCTTGACTGAAATGATAGAGTTTTGTGCTTACATTGTTATTTTATTATTATTATTGTTTTTGTTGTTAATCCAAAAATTTCCATTGATTTTTAGAGAGAGTGGGAGAGGAAGAGAGAAACATTGATGTGTGAGAGACACATTGATTGGTTGCCTCCCACATGTGGCGGTGGATCTAGCCTGCAACTGAGGTATATGCACTAGACTGGAATTGAACCTGAGACCCTTCAGTCTGCAGGTCAATGCTCTAACCATTGGGAAACCAGCTAGAGCTAATGTAATCAAATTTACTAATTTTTAAAAAATATATTTTATTGAGTTTTTACAGAGAGGAAAGGAGAGAGATAGAGAGTTAGAAACATCGATGAGAGAGAAACATCGATCAGCTGCCTCCTGCACACTCCCCCCCCACTGGGGATGTGCCCGCAACCAAGGTACATGCCCTTGACCGGAATCGACCTGGGACCTTTCGGTCCGCAGGCCGACACTCCATCCACTGAGCCAAACCGGTTTCGGCACAAATTTACTAATTTTTTATAGTTTTTTTGTAATAGCTCATAAAATTAGAGGGAGGATAGATGTTACCATTTTAGCTGTAGAAATCGAAGGCCTGGGTCCCTTAAAATAACTTTTCTGTGGTGGCCCACTGATTCATTGGCAGATCAAAATCCAGTCATTTTTACTTCCCAAAAGTCATGTGGTAAATTACATTTTAATAGTAACTAGACATGTATTTTTAAAAAGAGTAGAGCTGCCTCTTAGAAGCATTTGTGCCCAATTGTGGGCAGCAGTCTATTAATCTCTACTATATCTCTTTTTTCTATTTCTTCTACTTTTTTTTTTTTATTAATTAAATCATTATTGTTCAGATTATTACATTTGTTCCTCTTTTTCCCCCTGTAACTCCCCTCCACCCAGCTTCCACTCCACCCTCCTCCCTCACTCCCCACCCACTGTCCTCATCTATAGGTGCAGGATTTTTGTTCAGTCTCTTCCCGCATCCCCCTCACCCCTTTCCCCCCCAAGAATCGCCAGTCCACTC